TATAAAATAGCCAAGACCAACCAAATGAAGTGACTCTTGTATTTCACTATAAACATCAGCAGGATAAATTAGTTGGAAGAATTTTCTTCATCAGGTGCTAAGACTTTCTTGGATGCCTCATTGGCTTTATTGCAACTGACTCGTTTTGCTTGAGGTCTTATTTGGTTTTGAGCTATGTATCACATCTTATTCCTTCAAGATGTATGGATTAATATTCTTTTGAACTTCAGGCTTTATTCTAAAGTCTATATTATTATGACATTGTTTTCTGGAACTACATGTATTTGTGTGTGTGTGAAAAGGGAAAGAAATCAGCAGTTCCTAATGAGACTTCAAACGTTCGCCGATAGATGAATGGGTGGAAGACGGATTGATGACTTCCATATATTCAGGTCTCCGGAAAGTGGTTTATATCATAAGTTCTCAGGATGTAGAAAATTAGTAAGTTGTGTATATTTGCAATAGAATTTCACTCTGTGTGTGTTTTTATTTAACAGAAGGAATGTGAAACATGTCCTAGCGAGGAACAAAGCATTACAATGGACTAAGTCGTACGTTTTGCCAGAGTTTCCCTATGATGTCAAATGCATGTTAGCAGAACAGAAGTGTCCAGATCACAGCATGAGGATAAGGATCATTGAGTTCCTCCAGGCCGACATGACTAAGTACCTGGAAGGCTCACTGTGAGTAACCACAGGGCAGGCTAATTGCTTTGGGGGAGGATCTGTTTTCAGAGAAAAATGGAACTCATTTGGAACCCACACTGTGGTCATCAGTCCAACATTGCCCATTATTTGAATGTGTACATTGTTATATAGAAAGATTTGAAGCAAAGGAAATGCAGTTTGGACTCCCCTTAAAGGAAAGAATGCAGACTGCTTGACGTGAAACCTGTCCTTGTTACACTCAACAGGTATCCCACCACCCAGCAGTATAATGACGTGGTCAACACCCTGCTGCAGGCCCACCCTTTCCTGGACGAGGACGGCTGTGGCTTTGTAAGTGACCACACAGTGCCATTCAGTTAGTCTCAGCCCATCTTAGAATAATTGCTTTGCGTTGTCCAGTAATTTTATGCCTCACCTCACTTTCCTCAGTCTCTCTCGCTCTCTGATATCTTCTTTGTCTTTCTTTGTGTTCCTTTCTCTCCCTTTCTCTCTCTCTCTCTCTCTCTCTCTCTCTCTCTCTCTCTTATAAACTTTATTTTTTAGAGCAGTTTTACGTTCACAGACAAATGGAAAAGATGGTGCAGACATTTCTCCCCATGTCCCTCCAGCCCCCACACATGCATAACTTCTTCCCCCATGATCAACACCCCCACACATACCAGAGCGGTACATATTTCTTTTTGTCTGGGACAGTCTCTCTGCCCTTTTTTGCTTTTCCTGATATTTACTTTTTGGGCAGTCTAGTCTAGGTGCTGTGTAAGAATGGTCCACATTCTGGGTTTTTCTGTGTGTTTCCTAATGGTTATATTTAGGTTTTATTTATTTATTTATTTATTTATTATTTTATTATTATTATTTTAAAGATTTTTATTGTGGAATTGGGGGAAGGGGAACAGACAAGTTGCTATCCTTTTGTTCTTCAGTCTAGTTGTGGAGGACGTTGCTTCACTGGCCCAAGTTGGCACCGTCATTGCGCTCTTCCCAGGCAAGGCAGATCAGTCGCTGGCTTCTGGACGGCCGCTCACTGCAGCTGCTGGCTGCTCACGCTGGCTCCTGGCTACACACGGTAGCCCATGGCAACCCACCCGCTGTCACGGGTGACTCACAAGCAGCCCAACTCCAGGTCGAGCTGTTGTTCAGCATCTTAGCTGTGGAGGGCAGCGTCACTGGCCCTCATATGTGGGCTCCGAACCGGGGCCCTCGGGCATCCCAAGCCAGCTCTTAATGAACGCGCCACTTGGCCGGCCCTATATTTAGGTTTTAAATGTTGGGCAAATATCTGCTGGTGATGCTCTGGGCTGCTTCATGTATCAGATCAGGAGGCCCATCATTTCAAGGCTGGTTTTTGTTTCAGAGTGATTGGAGGAGAGCTGTATCCATGTAGCTCTTTCCACACCCCCTCCCACTGGAAAACTGTGGAGAAGGGGGATGATTATTTAAGGACACAAATATTTTCTACTGAGACATCTAAGTAAGGAACTCATGGTGCCAGGCAGGTAGCAGCTCGCTGATTGAGTACTCATGTGGACGATTGCATTTGATTTGTCTTTCTGCTGTTCCTATCAGACAGTTAATAAGGAGAGAAAGGAGAGGCTGGGAAGAAGAAATTGGCAATTTAAGAATATCCCAGAAGTTGATTGCCATAAGACTTCCTACTAAGTCAGCAGGTTTAGAAGACCTTCAGAGCTGTAGGAAACATGAGGAAAAAAAATACATTTGCACAAGTTCATATTTCAGGGCCAAGAAAAAATAAGCCATCCATTATTTCTGTGCTGTTGTAAAACAATGATGGTGGAGTCCAGACCCACAGCCTGTGGGAGGTAATGAAGCATCTCTGACTCACACATCCCCAGGTGCTTAATCAGGGATGAAGCTGCCCCCAACCTCAACCTACAACATAACTCACCAGGACTGTGGAAGGTTTTATGGATGGGCACTTTAGTTACAAATACCTTCCATAAGTAGCTATTTATTTGAGTCTCCCAAAACCCAGGGCGGTTGACAGGACTGATCTTATTGTTCTGTTTTATAGTTGGAGAAACTAAGGCTGAGGAGTTACTTGTTGAAGATTTCTTGGCTACTGGGTACTAGAGCTAGACCCCAACTTAGGTCCCAGTGCTTTCTGAAGGGCAGGGAATAACTTTATTGGGACTTAAGCCAGGGATATGGGAATGGTAAAACCTAAGTACCACATACTGGTCTAAGGTAATCTTAGTGGCATTCCCATTTGCCTGTGAGGCAATAGCGCTCAGAAAACATGCCCAAAGTCACCCAGCTCTTTACCACCCTCACATATGGACCTGCCTCGCTGTAAAGCGTCCTTTCCTTCCCTGCACCCACTCTTGGGTCTATTCAAGCACATGGCACTACAGGGAAGATGAGGGGCTGAGAAGCAGCCGAGAGGCCCAGGCTTTAAGAAGTGTCAGGCCACTCTGCACACAGTGAGTTACTTATCAACCAAGGCCATTACTCACAGTCTTGCTTCTAGTTTGTTCCTTCAACATCTGGGTCTCTCTCCTTCACAGAGGACTGACACAAGACAATGAATATTTATAGTTTCCAAGATTCATCAAGCACTGTGCTGGGCTTGGAGCAAAGCAGACATGAACCTGTCTTCACATGCTTATAGCCTAGTGGAAGGAAAGAAGGACGAGAAGGAAGGGAAGGGAAGAGAAGGAAGAGAAGGAAGGAAGGAAGGAAGGAAGGAAGGAAGGAAGGAAGGAAGGAAGGAAGGAAGGAAGGAAAGAAGGAAGGAAGGAAGGGAGGGAAGGAGGGAGGATGAAAAGAACAGAAAAAAAAAAACAGAAACAGAAATGCATTACATAGATGAGGGTAAATTACCAGTGTGACAAGTTGACAAGGAAAGATGAGAGCTGACAAGGGAAATGAGCTGTTATGGAGGCCACAAGGAAGTGATGGCTGAGCTGAGATCCGGAGGCAGAGCAAGAGTTAACTAGAGACCAGCAGGGTAGGAAGGATTATCTTTTTGTTTGAAACAGTAATGCTCCACAGATATTTGGGGTGTGAATGCCAGTAGTATCCACCAAAGTGAATTTCAAAGCTTGATAGAAAAATCATATACGGATTGATGCATTTAATAAATTTTCTTTAAATATGTCAATCCATAGATGCATAAGCCATTAGCAGTTCTTTTCTAGAATCCACTAGAAAAGTGGAGTAAGCTGTGGAGAAAACAGAGTAAGGTGAAAAGTATCCAATTTTAAGAATTAGAAAATCTAGATTCAAGAGCCAGTATATTTACTCAATAGCTATGTGACATCGGGAAAATATTTTTATTTCTCTGATTCTGTTTTCTTATTTATAATTTAGAGATTGCAATTTTTATAGCAATATCGCAAAATTATTATGAAGGTACGTGGAAGGATAGATATATTGTTTCTAATACTGTGATGTGAAAAGATTTCAAGCTCAAAGTGAATAGACAAATAAACATTTTATTGCTTATATAAGATTATTTCAGTCTCCTTGAAGATTAGCTGTCCTGTCTTGTTATTTTACACAGTTTTTATGGAAACGAGCCCTCAAAGATCGCTTTAAATATGTTCGAAGACCCATAGAAGATGATGAACAAGTGATGAGAAACAAATGTAAATTTGGACACCGAAGAGGCCAGACAAGGAAATCTCTTGCTGATATAAGATTTGATGAAATTAAAATTGTCCAGATAAAAGTAAGATTGAATCTTTCATTGTTCTGACAACTTATTGAATGGTTGATTAATTAAGTGATAATAAGTAATAGCATTTGAAATAATGAAAACAAAATGTCAGTTTGGTGTGGTCAGAAAACAAGAAAATCTATGTTTTGCATAGCAAATACTGTGAATGACAACATTTCCAAAAGAAGGCTTCCAAAACCAGTCTCAGCAGAGTGTGTTTAGTGAACATCATCTCATGTTTATTCTTTTACAACCTTCAAAAAACCTGGGAAAACCCTTGTGTTCTGGGTCCTTGAGTATCTTCCTGTCATATTAAAATGCGTCTTGTGGTCCTGCCATTCTCATTATTACAGAAAGTTTTTAATATTCACATTGTAGGGTTAGGTAGTCTGTAGTCTCAAAAGTGTCAGGAAGGAAGGGAATGCACATGCATGGATACAAAACTCCATATTGCCCTTCTTGGCCCAGAAGTGGTCCCACAACAGTCACGGTGGCCATGAGGATTGTCAGGCCAAGAACCCCAGGCAGGGCCTGGAGAGATCTCTCCCTCAGCAGTGGGTCTGCTTACACAATGTCCGTGTGGGTCCTGATGATCTGAGATACTGTAAATATTTCTGAACTACCTCAGAGCTCCCACGTATCCTCAGAAACAAAAATGTCCCCTGCTGATAAAGTAGATTGAACTCTTGAAGGAGGATGTCCGAACTACCAAGTAGAGAAGCTAAATCTCATGCTCCCCCAAATCCATTTCCACCTCAATCCAACATGAATCCTAACTCTTCACCACAAACACATTTATGTCAATGTGTGTACTTGGTACAAATATTCTATTGTCTTCTTTAGCTGGTATATTTATTTGCTATTAATAGAGCAACCTATTGAGTCATCTCAACTTTATTCTCATTACTTATAAGCTCCAGGGGACACAAATATTCTTCAACATATTTTGTAAACCGTTCATCCCAGCATCATTCATAAAGAAAAAATTTAGAAGGTATATATTTTAAATATCTTATAATTTTAAATGGAATTTTTAAATAATAGGCCAGTTAATATAATTCTGTCTCCTCTTTGACAAGACAAGACAGATGGAAGGTGCCTACATTTAGTGGTGTAACGTTTTAGAAACTTTGACTGCAACATTCCACTCTAAGCTAAAATCATGATAAGACAGAATTACATTTATTTTAAAATATCTTTTATATCCTTAAATTAAAAGCCACTCTATAAAGGAATATAATTATAAGTTGGTTTTCTCAAAAAAATTGATTTTCAGTATACTAAAAATAGAGTTTTAAAAAAATAACATTTTCAAATTGTTTTTCTTCTTTTCCCACTAAAATTCATTGGAATAGATGAATGGTAAAATTGGAAAATTAGCAATTGTCCCCAGCACTAGAACTCAAGGGGGCAGGGCTCACCTCCAGGGACACAGGGCCAAACGCTGCTTCTTTTCTTTGTTGACACATCATCATTCAACCAATTTGTGTTTCCTTCTCCAAACCACCTTAGCCTCTATGTAACTACTCCCTTCATGGCTCCTCCCTTCCATCTCCCCATCTCATCCCCCAGACAAGCCTGAATCCTAAAGGGAATCCTGCTAAGGCCCATGCAGGGGCTTTTGCTACAAAATAAAAACAAAACAAAACAAAAAACCCCACAGGGAATTGAATGTACCAGGGCCCAAGATAAATTAAGTTGCAAAAGAATTTCGTTTTGACCTTCCCGCCAGCTGGGGTAATAAGCAATTATAAAGTGGTCATTGTTCACATCTGAAGAGACAACATTTTTCCTGGCAAACAAATCTAATTGGTAAGGATTTACTTTTCTCCCCCTTGCAGATGGAGCTACAGTACAAATTGTTGACTCTTTTAAAGACTGTAGCATCCCTGTTTATGACCTAGAGGTCTATAAAGCCAAAAGCTTTAAAGGATGGGGAAATAGTTACACTAGAATATTGCAAAAAACAATGTGTTTCTGAGTTTTGTAACCTCCGTGGTGATTAAGTAAATGTAAAAACACTAAGAAGGGTGGAGGGACCAATCCGCTGAGTATACCACTTAGCTCGTGGAATTTTATACTTAAGATGAATTGTCTAAATAGTTTCTGATCTCCGTTTTGAACTTCTGACAGCTGTTTTTTTAGATCTATAAAATTTCTGAAAATTAAAGATATTTGTCTTATGATACCCTTTGGTAACTTTCACATTTAAAAAAAAAAAGTCTTGACTGCGCATAGTATTTCCATAATATAGAAAAAAGTTATCCCCTGTGTTGCAGAGCTGGAAAATGCTGATTCAGGCAAGAAGCCGGGAGTCAGGCCGTTCACTCAAAGGCAGGGAGGTGGGTTTGGCTAAACTGGAGGCAGATTTTGGAAAGGAGTAAAAGAGGAGAGAGTTTCATTGTTTTTGTATTGTTTCTGTTTTTCCTTTAGTGGTTGGAAGGAGTTTACCTAAGAATTAAAGGTAAATGTCTCCATGAAGGAAGATGCATTTCTGAGTTCTGTCACATGGGCTTCTTCTTATAATCCAGGCAGCTGCAGAATTCTTGTGCCTCTGAGTGTGGGCCACAGGCCTTGTGCGCCTAGCTCTCCTATCTCAATCTCCTAGGGCAGTTTTAGTACTGCATTAAACTATGCTACAAAACTTGAAGGATCAGTAGCACCAAAGCACTGACCTGTGAGTCAATACACCTGCAGTCCTCAGCTGAAAAGACTTTTCACCATGTTATATAGATGGCTGGACTTGTCAGCCTCCCAGATTATGCACCCAGAACAAGTCCTGCAGAATACTGGGTATTATGAGAAGGGAACCAAGTTTTTCCACCCTGAAGCTGCCTTTTAGGATATTGATTTTAAGCTGTTTATTAAGAGACAAGACTAAGAAAGAACCTTTGACCCTCTCCGCCTTTCCTGTCCAAGAGAGTCAGGCAGAAACCTGCTTCAGGAAGGAAATCGTAGGGTGCTGCCTTAGCCTACTTTGAATTCAGTGTGGTAAATAAGAGGACATCATGCAGGTCCTGTTAACTAGGCACCCCTGTGTCCCACTGTTTCTGAGTTGCCAACAAGAATTTTCCTGCCTTGTGTGTTCCGCTTCCTCAAGTACCTGTCAATCACCCATTCTCACTTCTGAAATCTAATACCCCTTGCCCCTTCACCTTTGTCCAAAAATGTCTTAAACCCAATGTTGCCTCACTGTCTTTGGAATTGTCATGTTTATGTGAATTCCCCATGCACATGTATTAAAACATTTCATTTCCTCCTGTTAATCTTTCTCTGTTCATTTGGTTATTAACCCAGCTAGAAGAACTTAGAGGGTGGAAGAAAAGTAGTAATTTTTTTCAGCCCCCAAATGCAGTATTTAAAAATCCTTTTCCAACCACATTACCTCATGTTACTGCTGCTTGTAGGGTCACGCAGCCAAACGCAGCATAATTGGTATAACTCCTTATGTATGTGACTTAGTTTTAGGTCCAAATAATTCTATACACCCATGAATTGATAAATCGGTTTCTTTCACTTAATTGTCTTTTACCATACTTCATTATGTATTTCTAACAGTTGGTATAAGAACGTCCAAACCTGTAAATAATTTTTTAAGAGTTTATTTGAGCCAAACTGATGACATAGGCCGGGGAGCAAGATTTCAAATGCTCTGGAGAATAAGGGTTTTGCATCTTCTCTTATGCATTTCAAATTAAGGCGGGAATGTGGATGAAGGCAAAGTGGGGATCAGATTACAGGATAGTTAAGATTCTGTGCTCTCTTGAGGGTGGTCAGGTTTTAGAAGGAGGGGTCTGAAAATGTGGTCACGTAGTAGAATGAGTAGTCTGAAACGGGGCATTTCAAAGGTGTGTTAACCTACATGCACAAAAACAGTAGATAAGGTTTGCTTAAGGCAAAGATAAGCCTTTTAATAAAGAAGTTATAGGCTCGGGAGATGACCGCCCACCATGACGACCCACCATGACCTGCCCAGTTAGGAATTGATGATGACATCACCCTGTGAGGTTACTTTCCATAGAACCCCTTTTTCACCCACAAAATGAAGATATAGTTAGATTCTTGAAACAGTCAACTTACTGGTAACTAAGTAATTTTGTAAGTTGCTGACAACATTGTCCTTTTTAAATGATGAAGACACTGGCTTTAAAAGTTTATAGGGATTATATGGAACTGCATGACAGTGCAGTGGAATTATGCTTTATATTGTAGTATTTTCTTTTTGTAAAAAACCGCAGGTGTTAATTAAAGTTGAGCGAATCAAACTTTTCGTGGCACATTATCGTCATTGCCCCGTGGCCTTTCTCTGGTTCTATTCATTCCTTTTTGTCCTCCTCTGCATCTCTGCCCTTGGGCAACCATTTTAATGTCTTTCATGGGTATCTTTTTGTTTGTAAGTGTTCCAAAATGTGTATTGTCACTTTAGGTTTACATGTGTTTAACTTAATGTCAATGGTGTTCTTATTTCATTTGTGTTTCACTTTTTTCACTGACACTCTTTAAGACTCACTGATGTCACCATGTGTATTTCTATTCTACGATTGTGATGATTACTAAGTACTCCTTGCCTCAAGCCCTGTTTCTCCCCACTCTCCAGACACCATCATACGTGTCTGATTATGGACCTACCTGTGTGTTAGCTATTTGGGTTGTACACCCAGAAGTGGAATTGTTGGGGCAGGGGGCACGCATGTACTTAATTTGACCAGTTGCTCTTCAGAATGACTTTGCTAGTCTCATTCTCACTGTAGTGCACATCCCTGTATTCCTGCCAACCTTTAGCATTATCCAGCCTTCCAGGCTTTGCCAATTCTAGTAGGTATAAAGTGTAATCTCATTCATGTTGTGATTTGCATTTCCCTGGATAACTAATGAGTTGGAACCTCTCTTCACAGGGTTGTTAGCCTTTTGAGTTTCTTCTTTTAGAAAGTTACCTCTTTAGATTCATTGCCCATTTTGTAATGAGTTGGCATCTTTTTCTTGTTATCTGACCAGCCAGGAGAACTAATGGG